GAATTCACATGTATATCATCATGTTTCGTATTTTGCTTAATTAATTTCACCCATTCATTTGGAATAGCCTCAATTAGTGAAATATATTCACTCGTCCAATTTCTTTTAATACATAGTTTTTCAAGAATTTCGTTAGGTTTCATTAGACGATTAAAATAATTATATATCACTCATCTTATTGAAACCTGATGTACTCCAGTTCCTATAGAACAGGGGATTTGTTCCTATATGTAATTGCTTTATTACCCCATAAACTTTGTTTAATTATTTTTTCATACGTGTTAAGTACATAATCTTTATTGGTATTATTTAATTCGAATATGTACACAGTTTAGGTGTAAATATATACAGCAAATATTTTAGTAAGAAACAAAAGATGTTTTAATAACGTATAGGCCCTATAATATGCAAACCGGATTGATCACAAAATCAGAATCAATGTCAAACATCAGAACCCAGCTTTTATTGTTTAAAACTGTTGTGGCCCCTTTGAATGAAACTATGGTCAGGGGCGGATCCAGGATTTGAAAGAGGGGGGGGGGTCATTTTCCCATAAACCCAAAAATGAAAGGGGGCCGGGGGTCCTCCCCCGGGAAAATTTTGATTCCTAGATGGTTTGAAATGAGCTTTCCCGACTTCTGAGGTATCTTTTAATGAACTTAAATTTCTTTATATTTTAAGGTTTTAACTCTCTTTAAAAAAAGGTAAGGTGATTTTATATTATTCTTAGGCCTATACCACAGAAAATAAATCAAAGATATAGTCAATATATTATTAGGCCTATATCATACCAAGTCTCTCGCATCCCCCCCCCCCCCGGATCCGCCACTAATGGTATTATACTTTATATTTGTTTAAACCACAATGTCGGTTCCCCTCGTGCATGAGAGCCCTGGTACTTCATCCCCCCACCCCCACCCTGTCACCGCCTGAGCGTGACGCCACTGGCCACAGCTTTGATAGCTGGGCTTTCCGCCACGGATTAGGCAAAGACTCGTCGACCCTTGATCGAGTTGGCCACCATTATGACAATTTTGTTCTTTGGGGGTGTCCAGCATAAAGATACTTACGAAACGATTGCTTATTTCGTTTTGACACGTCACTTTTCAACCTGGAATTTTAGTTATAGACATAGGGTTCAAAAGCGAATTTAGAGGGGCGTACGCGGCCACACTTCCCCTTATTTTCAATACCAAAAACTACTTAAACCTAAACCCTAAATCTGAATCTGAACCAGACATACATACAAAATAAAGCAGCTTGTAGAAGTAGTTATCAATAAGAGATTATATAAATAACTATATAGCTCTATATATAACGTCAGAACTGCTAATTTTCGTGTTTTTTGTGTGTTTTTTTTTGGGTTGGGGTGGCTTGCCTCACACTTATACCACTACCGGCTGTTATTCCTCGTTTTTATTCGCTGCTGCCTTCGCAAATGCTCGAGATGTTCTACCTGACATACGAGCTGTGGCACTGTTTGCCTTGATTCTGACTGTGGTATTATGGTAGTCCCATTGTCAGTCATAAATTTCTTGCTGTGAAGATCAGAATAGTTGTTTTTTCGGGAGCTTTCGGCACCAGACTTTATTGGAGTTTACTCCAGACGTGGCACTGGTGGCGTGGATTATAGACCCTGTCAGAGAGACCAACATCAAGTTTGCTTTATTCTTTTTGTTTAGGCCTACGCTACCTGTACTCCGACTACCCTGACCCCATTAGCTCACCTCAATCACATTACTTCTCATCACTTTAAAACTGATTCACTACCTATTTCATCATCATCATAGGCTGAAGCCTCATAATCTTCATATCATCATCATTTTTCCACACATATCTGAAAAGTGCTTACTGTCCGAGCATCTATAAAACAAAAATAAAATCCGAGAGAGGACTCCCTGACCCCTCCATATTGTTCTACAGCAACATCAATGCTGCTTTTTTCAATTTGCTCAGGCCTTCGCTCTGCACCTGACTAAAGAACCTTTCTTGTCCACAGGTCCACAAATCATGATGGGCCGACTCGATCGCATTTTCCACCACTCCCAAACTGTTCCATCTCCAAAATCATCATAAGCGTTTCCAGCCTCTTGATCATCATCATATTTCTATACTCACACAAGAAAATCTTTGAAGTTCGAAGAAATTTATAGTCAATAACAGACCCTTGAGAATGCATAAAAGTGCATAGGGAGGGTCCCCGTACCCTCCTGATTCCTCTACCACAACATAAAATCTACTGTTTTTCAATTTGCGACTATAGAACCTATCTGGTCCTAATCGTGATGGCTAGCTAGAAATCCATTTCTTCCATCTCTCTCAAAGTGTTACCACATAATATGTCATCAGAAATCCAAGCCTCATGATCAACATCATTTCTCCATACTCACACAAGAAAATCTGAGAAAGTTTAATAAGTGTTTGACATACCCCCGAGAAAGCAGAAAAGTGCATATTCGAGCATCTAGAAAACAGAATTATCGAAATCTTATCAACCACACGCTCCCATCCCCCGCCCTTTCACAAAAACCATCCACGAGGTTTTGCTTGACCTTTGTTTTTATACTCCTGACCTACATTAATATTCCACTCCATTTCATTTTAAACAAAGATGAACGTCATCCCGATCTATGTTTTGATTTACAAAGCCTCTTTGCAGACTGATCAAAATGCATAGAGCCTCTTATATCCGCTCCCCCCACCTCTTCAGTTTTTTTTTTATTAATGACAGTCCATCATCATAGTTACTGTTACAACCTATATAATTATTGCCTCACTGATAATGGTATATTGGTCAAGTGAGATTTTCTAAGTTAAGGTTATCCAATGGTTAAAACTATCCATCACACATATCTATACTATGAATTGTGTGTGTACATTTTCTGCCTGATGTTGCATTTGATCCTCCTGCATTCCCTCTTCAACTGGACAGATACTATATTCATAAATCAGAGACCACTTTCTTCTTTACTTTTATTTTCCAAAAATATTAAAATCATCCAACACAACAACATAACAATGTAATAAGGCTCAATTTGCCTTAAGATCACCATCGACCTTTGACAAAGAGGACATGGGTTGGCTTTCACCCAGCTAAGTATCTCACTTTATACGGACATCATTTTTCAACTTCTTTAATTCTGGGGGCCACGTCGGGGAGAAAAACCACAATTCGTCGGGAAGAGAAAGAAAAGTATAGGGCCTATGTATTTTCTACATATTAATAGACTCAAAAATCGATTATATAAGTCTTTGAAACCCATAAAATGTTTGCCATGGAACACTTTCGAGAGATTTTGAGTGACGCCCGAACACGCCAAATTTTTTTCGTCGGTGACATCATCACCCCCCCCCCCCCTACTGGCGCCATCACTGATGAAACGACAGAAGATCCTGGAAGTGCGACAAATCATTTTAGGAACCACGCTGGCCGCGGCGCCCAGGGTATATATCTATGTGTTAGCTCGACAGGCGGCCGCGAAGTGACGAACGAGTGAGAGGCAGCACTTTTTAAGGGCCAAATACGGTGAACGTTAAAAGTTAAACATAAGCAGGGTGCTATAGCTCGTCCTCGGGAACCCCTCAAAGAGTGGAAATGTGGGAATAAAAATGAAAGTTGCAGGGGGGAACCATAGGGACATAGGGCCGACAGTCCCCCCGTCGGGAGGATCCCCCCCCCCTCCATGGATCACTTTCGAGAGATTTTGAGCGACACCCGACCGCTCCCACTTTTTTTCGTCGGATAAATCGTCCAACCCCTCCCCCTCCTCTCCGTGGGGAAGAGCTGCCCCCTCCTCGTCGGGAAGAAAAAGCACAATTCGTCAGGGAGAAAAAAAATATTATATGTATTTTCTACATATTAGAAGACTCTAAAATCGATTAAATAAGCCTTTGAAACTCCTAAATTGTCACCACTTGGACCACTTTCAAAATCTTTTAATCGAAGCTTGAAAAGGAGGAGGACGCTCAAAGTCCGATGCGGCGGAACGTTTGAGAAAGTGTTGGGATGGGGGTATTTCATAAGGTAACTAATCCAGTGTGCGACCGAAGCGGGCATCTAGGCTGGAGACCCCAAGGGTCCCCGGTGGGGCGCTTAAATATTTTGACGGAATTTTATTAGTTATTTTATAGGCATCAACTGCTGTATTATGAGTTCATAATTGTTGTTTATAAAAATCCGAAGAATATCCAAGTCGAGATGAATTCCAAACGGTATGAGGGTATCCTTGATAAAAAGCTAACACAAATAGCCAAATGAGAGAAATATATGATAGACCTAACCAAAGATTAGAACTGGGAATGGTACGTCAAAACTGGCGGATCCAGGAATTTTAAATAGAGGGGAGCTAGGGAGGTACTTGCACAGATAGAGTGACCACCTACCACGGGCCCACGTGGCTGGGGCTGAGACAAAAAAAAATGGCAGACCATGGCACCTCTAGATGGCCGGAAGTAAAACTCTCAGATTTGAATATAATTTTCAATTTTCTCCATTTTTAAAAAATATATAATTTTGAAAAATTTAGAATATTTTTATGATAAAAAATAATTCTCTTGTTTCTGTATTTATAAAATATCAGTGATTTCATTCTGGTCACCATTGCCATAACCGTCTGTATGTTTAACATGTTATGTGTAGAGTAGTTTCTATTTAACTTGGTTCTCAATTGGAATACCGCCTCTTGTGTTAATTGCGTGGTAACCGCAGAGAGTTACCAAATCATCATCGTCATTTATTGTTATTATTGTTATTGTTATTATTATTATTATTTTTATTATTACAGAAAAAGTATTACCAACAACAGTCGTAGTAAACATATATTTCTATAATGATTTTCATAATTCTGCTTATCTTCGTTTAATAACACCTTAATCACTTTACCAGTTTAGTAAATGTACTTGTTAGAAGAAAAAAAGGTTTTTTTTCTTTTTCAAAACTGATCTTTTACCTATACTGCATGCCAAATCGTTTAGTAAAACTGTTTCACATTTTACTGTAGACCTTTATTGGGAACACAGACAGAAACACAGAGGTCAGAAACAACTTCCCGACACTGATAACCGCTCGGAACATACGTATTCATCCCGAAAAGTGGTACGGAAACGCTGCTAGTCTTCGATTCGAAGTTATTGGCTGCCGTGAATAATGTGCGTAAAAGGTAAACGTTGTCACGTTTATTCCTTACTGAAGGTAGGGAAATTAGCTGTAATAGTGCGTACGTAGTACTATATCATTATTTAATCCAATAGTAATAATTTAAAAGAAATTGTTCTTCTTCATGCATGCATTCTAGATAATGAGGATAAAGAACCAAAGTATATAGTAATGTATTTAACTTATAATTTAGCTCTGAGAATAGGGAACTACTTTATTAGTTTCGATTATACCAAAGCCCGTGACCAACGAGGGGTTCTGGACATAGATTTAAGAGGGCCCTTTGGCTTAAGTGTGTACATAACATGTAAATATATGATATCTTGGAGTTTGAAATAACGTTATAAGTATCATGGCAAAATTACACGTATGTATTTTTAGCAAAGTTCGGATTGCTCATTTGTGAAGTTTGATTGGCACTGAGTAGTAGTGGTCTTGAATAATGTGCGTAAAAGGTAAACGTAGTCACGTTTATTCCTTACTGAAGGTAGGGAAATTAGCTGTAATAGTGCGTACGTAGTACTATAATTATCATTATTTAATCCAACAGTAATAATTTAAAAGAAATTGTTCTTCTTCATGCATGCATTCTAGATAATGAGGATAAAGAACCAAAGTATATAGTAATGTATTTAACTTATAATTTAGCTCTGAGAATAGGGAACTACTTTATTAGTTTCGATTATACCAAGGCCCGTGGCCAACGAGGGGTTCTGGACATAGATTTAAGAGGGCCCTTGGGCTTAAGTGTGTACATAACGTGTAAATATATGATATCTTGGAGTTTGAAATAACGTTATAAGTATCATGGCAAAATTACACGTATGTATTTTTAGCAAAGTTCGGATTGCTCATTTGTGAAGTTTGATTGGCACTGAGTAGTAGTGGTTTATTTGACTGTTTCTTATCAAATTGTCACTCGAAAGCATTGTGGCTTTGCCTTTTGATATATAGGGCCTATTGAAGGAAGTTAGCCGTTAACACTGCTGAATAAATATAATATAAATCATCAAAGGTACATATACAGTGTTAATAAGGACATGATGGAACATCGTAGGCTACCCTGTAACTTTTTAACGAATAAAGTCCTATAAAAAGTCATTGTGTAATAAAATTCCTCCGATGGGATTCGAACCTGCGACATCTCGCTGACAAGGCGAGCGTCATAACCACTAGACCATAAAGGCTTCATGGTTGAACAGGTCCAAATAACTGTCGGGAATATTGTATTACACAATGGTACGCCTCAAGAGGGCGTTCGACCAGATAAATCTGGAGATACGGCTATAAATAAATACTGCCGTATATTGTATATGATATTGAAGGAAGTTTGCCGTTAACACTACTGAATAAATATAAATCATCAAAGGTACATATACAGTGTTTAATAAGGACATGATGGAACATCGTAGTCTACCCTGTAGCTTTTCAACAACGAATAAAGTCCTACGTTTTATGCAGATTGATTAATACATATAATATATATACATATATATATATATATATATATATATGTATATATATATATATATATTCATTCATTAATAAAATTTGTAATAATAATAACAAGTATTGGTAAATTTAATCTTTATTTATTTCAGTAATTGGTGGCTAGTAATGAAAATAATTCTGTGTACCGGCAAAGGACGGGAGTACGTATGCATGCTTATTATTATACGAGTCGTCGATTAGTTATATTATTATAAGTCTAATTCAGCATTATTTGTTTACTGTACACCAGTTTCCTGGTGAAGGTGTCACTTTATGTCCAGATTGACAACTGTTTTTAATTGTCCTTATAATATGTTCATTAAAATCAAAATACAGAGTAGTATTATTTATAAAGCCCTGTGATGACGTCGAACAACCTGAAACATCAACATCAGTCTAATAATTATTCAAAAAGGGTTGTTAGTCCAAGCGTATCTTTAGTAACACATTATTCTCTAATTTACAGACACACTGGTATGTTGTAAATGTTTGCGATATAATGCCGGGTACTCACTGCGTCGTGCGACGGTCGTACGACGGTGGCAGTCTGAACGTATCGCATACGTATCGTCATTAAAAACGATCCTTTGCGCGCGCGTCGTCGCGTTGCGTTCGTTATAGAATCGCGTCGGCCGGCGACCGTCGTATGCGCAGCGAGTGCCCGATTTAATAGTGCTTCACATTATTTCTGCTACTTTAACCTGCGTTGTATTGCTGTGTTCCGGTGATTGAACGATTTTATCTTTCAACATAACCAACGCCACAATTTAGAGGTAACTAATCGAAAGTAATATACACTTGTATAGTGATATATACGCATTAATTACAATATATATATATATAATTATATATATATATATATATACAGTATATGTATATGTATATATATGTATACACTTGTTATTCATTCAGATAATTTCTATTATTATATAGGAAAATCTAATATGATTATCAATGAAACGTAACAAAAAGTGTAAAAAATGTCAAATATAATAAAGACAGAATAACCTTATTTTACATGAACAAAAGCCCTACTATATTTTCTGTATTTTTGACGGACGGGGTCGACGGGCGGCAGTTTCATAAACCATTGGAGGTAATTTTAATAATGGCTAGCCGAATTGTCATTTAATCGCAAATAGAGATAGGCCTATTTTAGTTTTAAATAGAGATATTATAAAATTTAACTAATAGGCCTATATCTATCTTTATTTAAAACTCAGGTATCTCTATTTAAAACTAAGTTATCTATATTAACTTTGTTAATAGAGATATTTTCGTTTTAAATAGTGAATTGAGTTTTAAGTAAAGATATATGTTTTAAATAGAGATATCTCTATTAACAAATATCTCTATTAGCAGATATAGGCCTATCTTTATTTAAATTTTAATAGAGATCTCCCTATTTAAATTATATATTAAATAGAGATATCTCTGTTTGAAACTAGGGCATCTCCATTGGCAATTAAATGACAACTCTCCTCACAATAGATACCGTAATTATTGCATTGATGATGATGATGATGATGATGATGATGATGATGATGAGGATGGTAATGATGATGTTTGTAATTATTATTATGATAAAGACTATGTTGATAATAGTGATATGATAACAAGGCGGTGATAATCAGAAGTAGAAATAATCTATTTCATTTAGCCAGCCAAATGGCCGAGCGGTTAAGGCAGGGCACCGTGATCATAGCCAACAATATCGTCACAGGTTCACGGCCGGCTCGCTCCTAGTTATGGTGGTGGAACAAGTCTTCTCGGATAAGGACTATAAACCGTATGCCCAGTGTACACAAATGCTCATGTACACTTTAAAGAACCCAGTACATCTTTCGAGATGAGTAGAGGGCTACCACGGTGTACTGGTTCACTTGGACAGATGAAAGTGCGCCAGTTTACTGGCTGCAGTGGACATGAAGTGACCCTCAGGGGAGGAGAAAGTTATTGAAAAGTGCAACATCTAGTCCCGAGTGCATAGAGACCTCGTTTATCTGAGCTATATAAATCCATCTATTATTATTTATTATTATTATTATTATTATTATTATTATTATTATTATTATTATTATTATTATTATTATTATTATTATTATTATTATTATTTTTAGTCCAATAGTTCCACATGATCTATGATTATTTGGTGGACTTCTCGTCATGTAAAGTAAACTACAATATATTCTATGACGGTACACTTGACTGACATCATATAAAAGGCAATAAGACAGACGATTTCTGAACACAATTATAGGCCCAAATGCCTTGTTAAGTTGAATTTTGTGGGTATAATTGCATACACGGCAAAGATGACTAATGCATGTCCCGTGCTTTAAGTGCTGCTTTCTCTTCAACGTAATTAGTGAGCTTTCGATTCTACGAAAAATACTGGACCTAGAACGTAATATCATGCGTTGCGAGAACGTTGTCTAGATTTGTCGTTGTTCTTCAGAGAACGCACAACGGTCACGGCCGATGAGTGAATTCGTTCTACGGATACATCGTTGGCAAATCAAAAGCTCCCAATTCTTGCACACTGACATCTTATTCTCCAGAGACAGTCCGAAGATGTCCGATCTTATTCAATGTATACATGCTCATGAGAATAAAGGTAATCTGAAGGATGTTCAGTTTTTGTCGATACGTTGAGTTCACATGTCCCAGATGATTTCTGGTAGTTAGTTGACTGACAGTCAGATCTTTTTTTACATTTTACTATACATTCGATGTCACTCCGAGCTTGAACGATGACAAATGCGTGGTCAATTAGGGCATGCTTCGGATACTTAACAAATTCATTCAACGTTAATGAAGTATCTGAAAACAGAAACAGCTTACAGATTAAATAAATGTTTTAAATAACCTCTATTCATGTAACGAATACAAAAAAAGCGGTACAAATTTAAAATACATAAATTATAATTATACGGATATATAACGTAACATGCTATACGGAAACGGAGCTATATTATTATTATTATTATTATTATTATTATTATTGTTGTTGTTGTTGTTGTTGTTGTTGTTTTTGTTGTTTCAATTATTGTTAGGCCTATATATTGTTTGTTATTATTACCATTATTTTTATTATTATTATTATTATTATTATTATTGTTGTTGTTGTTGTTGTTGCTGTTGTTGTTGTTGTTATTATCATTGACTTGAGGAGTTACTTTTTGAATAGTGACCCACCTAACAAACTGCAGTCGAAAGAGTAATACCATGCAACACATGTGCACTCGTATCCGTCTATGTAATCGGTACAGGTTCCACCATTTTGACACGGGTTAGATAAACACTCATCGATGTCTGAAAGATAGATATTATATAATATGCATTTGAAACATTCTAATGTTAGCAGTGGTGGCGCCATAGGGAGGATATTGTATTGTGGTCACTCGACGTCATGTCTGGTGTCTCCATCATCGAGGTATTTGATCCCGGACTCCCTTGTTGGTGCGGGTGCTTGATGTCTTCCGCAACAGAAGGGTAAGTAGAGGGGGGGGGGCTCGATGATCAATTGAGGTGTGCTAATTCGGAAAATAAGGTGATTTTATGTGATTTTTAACTCTTTGCAAGTGATTTTTTTTTGGATGGGGGTGGGGCGAGTAATTTTTAAAGGGCGTGCCCCCGCCCCTACAACGTACATTCAGCTGTCAACTCCAATCTCTGGTGAATTGATAGTACAGTTAAAAGTCCGTGATTAGACATTGAGATCCGGGTTAGTCTGACAAGAGAGATCTCATCCTGAGGCCTGAAAGATGAAGTTTGGATTGGATTGGATTTATTTGGTGTCAACACCAAGGATTACCAACGAAAGTCCAAAGACTTGTTTTCAGTGGGGTCCTTCTAGTGGCAGTACATTTTCCTACTCTTTAAGAAAGAGATAGTAATGAGTTCTTTTACTAAAGACGGGATTAACGGCCCAAACATGCTCTTTATTATACTTGTATTTCAACCCTTTAGCTGAAACACAAGGAGAAATAGCAATTCAGTGTCAGTGAGGATATAGTTTATTTTTTATGTCAAGATCAGAACTAGAGGGCACCCAGCTATCTAGGTTAAGGCATTTTTGTGCAATTTACTCTTAAAGTTACAGTTGGTAGAGTATTTAATTAGATGTAAGAAACACAGATCATGCATAGCTGAGTTTTGTGTAGACGTTGTGACTCATCTGAGCTGCATAGTTGCCGTCATATAATAATTATTAATTATATTTTCATGTTATTATTCTGAGGAAATACTTAAATAATAGCAATGTAAGTTCATCGGGTCGTGAAAATGTGTATTGTGTTAATTGATTCTGATGAAATGAGAAGTTGTATGTCAATGACATATTGATCATAGAGGCGAAAATGAATATTGTGAATTAATCAAATCTCATTTCATTAGAAGTTATGTGTAATATATTTAATCGATCTGTGTATGAAGGGATTGCAAACCAGAATCTAGTAAATGTTTGTACATTTTCGAGACATTGAATGTGACCATTTTTTAATTACTTGATCTAAACAGAAGCTCCGAATTTTAAAATACTAGGCTTACTACTAGTGCAAAGAATTTTTTTAAAGAACTTCTTTATCATTATACCTTACAACACCTCTAGTATCCGGTACCTCTGATCTTAGATTTAGTAACTGCAATATGTTCACCCAAATCAAGCCAATAATTAATATTAATTCGGAAATATAATGATACACAAGACAAATCACTTACAGTAATCCAGTAATCAAATGTAACAGCAGCTTCTCTGCTTTATACGACCTTACCACATACGTTATCAGAATATTCCATTTATTATTTGGTTGATATCATTTAAAGCGCCACTTGTCAACGAGACAATGTTGCAAATCCAGACCATTTGATGGGTACAGAAGAAGGCAATTGCCGCCAACAATGCACAAACGTGAAATGAATAACGAACATTAACAAACAATGTACGGTACTTTTACAAACGATCAAAGGTACTTTCACAAATAAGTTATTTCCCAAACGAATAACGTACTTTCAAAAACGATCGTTTTTCGCAAATGAATCTTTGTTACAACTACAACTTACACCTTTTATTTACTTATTATTATTATTATTATTATTATTATTATTATTATTATTATTATTATTGTATTATTATTATTATTATTATTATTATTATTATTATTATTATTATTATTATTATTATTAGCTATCAAAAACCAGTCACCAAACACTCTCCATTTCATAAAAATGATTATCAAACAAAAAAGATATTAAACTTTTCTTACTGCATAACCATTCTTATTTTCAAATTCTCAATCCAACTTTGGATTTTTACATTAAAAGACTTTTGTTTATTTATATATATTTCATAATACACCATTTTTTTCAAATTTATACAGAGAATTTCTCTTTAAAGAAAGCTACGGTATTTGTTTTTCTAAATAAAAATGTTATTCAATCAACTTCTTAAAAGGGAAAATATCAAGCACCTGACTACAACTTACAACTTATTGGGTACGGTGTGGGTAAGTTTGTTCGTTTGTGAAAGTACCGTACGTTTTTAGTTGTGAATGTTTCTAGTTCGTTTGTGAAACTACGGAGTTCGTTTGTAAAAGTACGTTGTACTGTTTGTCAAAAATATGGCTGATAGTTTCAAACGTTGACGTAATTCCGTCAGGTCATGCTGATTTACTATTGTTCATTTTCATATCTCTATATA